TTTCGGTTTAGTTCGGTTTGAAGTTCCTGATCAGAGGTGTGAAGAAGCCCCAATAAAAGCAGTTCTTGTATGTTTTCGTGTGAAATAAATTTGCGTACTTTTGTATATTAGGCCCCAACGTCACATATGCGCTGGCGATGTCCTTATTCACGACCAGCTTCTCGGCCAGCAGCCCTCGGACCACCATTTGACGCAGGAGACGCTGTGCATCACCACGAGGCCAGCTCTTGCATCTGCAATATATTCTTCATTATTACAAATTTATCAAGCAATGCGAAAAGCGAAAAATATCTTGGATTATATATTGACAATAACTTAACATGGACAACGCACATGAATCATTTAATAACTAGATTATCTTCCCTAAGAGGTTCCCTTAGACACATAGTTCGAAGCTTTCTTCGTGAAGTTCGACTTCATATTTATAATTCTTTGGCAAAATCACACCTTCTTTACCTTATTGAAATTTGGGGAGCCGCGACTAAAACTAACATTTCTCGCCTTCAAATTGCTCAAAATAAAGTAATTAAATTGCTTTTTCATTACCCATACTTAACTTCTAGACAAAAATCTACAGTGAAACAAAACTCATATATAGGTATAATAGACTTCCACAAAATATAAAAAGCGCAGACAACCTGGCAATATTTAAATTAAGACTAAAAGACCATCTCTTGAGTGATCCCAGTTACCTGCGTAAATGAAAGTCCACCCAAGTTATACTTCGCTAATGGATTCTTGAAGCTCTTCAATGACCCACGACGTGATAAATTGTATCTTTAGTATATAAGTTCTCATGTAAGTGACTATTGTCTGTTATGAGAATAAATGTCTTTAAACCTAAGCAATTTTATTTGACCCACAATAAAGTAGGCATAAATAATAAATGCGAGTTACATTCATATGAAAAAACACTATGCCCCTGCCATAAACAGTAAATGCAACACGTGTTTGTGGTTGTAACGCTTATACCTTGCATGTAAAGGACTCTCCCTCAAACCGGATATCCGCTGTTGCATAGAGCCTCGTAAGGCGTCGGCGATGTGCAGAAGGGTGAAGCTGGAACGACCCGCGTCGCGGATGGCCCGCGCTATCACCTTGCACTCTTCGGTCACGTCCACCGGCTAAAAATATACATTTATAGATAGAGAGATACATATCGGAATTAGAAAGCGTATAACGCCTATATGCCATTATTTTTTATTTAGGAAACATACAATTTCTATAATATATCCAATTATGGTGCCATTAATTAGGTTTCATGAAAATTTATGACATTACATTTAACATGATTACACAAAACAAAGTAGTGTATCAAGAATTTAAATATTGTTTTTACCCAAAATATATATTATATATATAAATATATATATCTATATGCCGGGGGATGCTCGCATTATCAGGAAATGTTCTGATCGAGTCAATTGACCGTTCATTTTTGTTGCTTTGGGTAATCGTATAGATTACTTCTATTACTATTAAGAATCACAATTTATTTTGATTCAATTTGTTTTGTTATTATTTAATTGTTTCTTAATTTAGATATAACTTAACGAATAAAAGTACGAATATTGTTACGACCAATCAGAGCCGAGCAAATGCCTCGAGTTCGTTCGAGAAACGCAGGGTAGTTCTTGAGTAGTCAGTGTAGCATTGAGGTGATGAGAGGTTGGATTGAGTTGGGTCTAGTAGAATTTGATTAAAAGTGAAGAATTTATATAGGAATCAATCTAAGAAGCTCGCACGTTACCGACATGACGCCCACTAAACCCGCTAATGACGATGTCCATATCGATGGAGTGACGATATTTCTCCGACATATATAATTATGAATAATTCATTGCTTGATATTTTTATATCATTAAAAATTTGTAAAAACCAAACAAAAGTATACCTTATAGTTGTGGTCATTAAGGCAGTTATCGCACGCGGTCTTCTTGTCTCTCTTACACAACTCACGGGAGAACTTCTCTCCGAGATAAGTCAGCACTTGGGCCCTTCGACATTCGGAGACGCTTTCGCACACTTCCACCATTCGGAGGAGATTTTCTATGTGGACACGTTTCGCTTCAGGTGTCGCGTTTCTTTCCACTGAAATTAAAAAAAAATACTTTAAAAAATCTAAATATCTTTTGAATTAATTATGCATTAAGGATCGCGATTAATTATTTAAAAAGGTAATATTTGGATAGTGTAGAGTATACTAACAGAAAAAGTGTCATGCCACAAATTCTTATCTTCTGTTTCTGGCAAATTCAACAATTTGAACAAAAATGTTTTGCAAAACACAAGATACTTAGTTCGACATTTTATTCCACTAAATAAATGAAACCTAAAATAATAAGTATAAATAATATGACAAAGTTGTCTGTAGTTCACGCGATTTAGACATTTTGATAATTAAATAAATAAAAACATGAATTTGTTAAATTGCAGACAGAAACAATTTACTGGATTTTCATGTAGACCCTAAAATCGAATATGTTTTTAACATACACCCTTATAATACGAAAGCAATAATCTACTAGTGTCTGACTAATGAAAGAAGATTGAATTATTTGAAAACTTTCGGATGGCAACACAGAATGTCATTGAATTTCTTAGGTTAGTATGATTTATTGTCTTGATACTTCATGCAATTACTCATTTTGATTTCTATTATGTATTTTTTCCGAATAGTCAACAGGTATGATAGCCTAAACTTTGTTTTATTTGATAGAATATTTCGTTTCTTTAGCAGGATTTGATTATTCCGAATAAAGTTGTGTTTTATAATAAATATAGTTTTCCATTTAAGTTTAGCTAGTCATTTTATGTGTCAATAGTAAAATACTAATTACGTATAGTATTTAATTTCATAGAAATACAGTTACTATCAATGTAAAAAATAATAAAATAAAATCAAGTATCAAGTAAGTTTAGTCCACAAAATTAATCAAACTTTTAGGTATACCATACTATTTTTTTTGAATTTGCCGCGCCTTTTCGTTATCTTCTTTCACTAGCCAGACTCTAGGAGTTTATATTCGTCAAAGAAGTTACGAGTATCTCGTGAAGTATGAGGAGTCTTACGGTCCAGCAAGCGGCGATACCTAACGACGTCCCCGTAGCAGTAGTACAGCAGACAAGTGGCTGGTTCGCCGTCTCGGCCCGCCCTCCCCGCCTCTTGGTAGTACCCTTCCACGGACTTCGGCATACTATGGTGGATCACGTAGCGGACGTCCGACTTGTCCACGCCCATGCCGAAGGCTATTGTGGCGCAGATCTGCACAAATAATACTTGAGAAAACTGGCAACGCTAGCACAAATATTTAATATAAAGTATTTTATGCGATTTTAAAAATCTTAAGAGAGCCTTCTGCGCTTGGTCAACACGTCGGTTTTAGAGCTTTCCTACAATGTTTTCTTTATTTATTTATTAAAGTTCACCACACCATACGAGCTATATCGACAGTATATGTTACAAGCTATCTTTTCATGTCTCGTTGGTCTTATTTCTCTATGAGCAAAATCTATCACATTAATGTCATTGTGCAATAAGTGAAATTAATCTACCCTCACTTACCACAGTAAACTTATCAGCGACCCATCCAGCCTGGACCGCCTCCCTCTTCTTATCGCTGAGTCCGGCGTGATAGGCCGCGGCCTGAATGCCCACTTTGCGCAAATCCCCTGACAGATTCTCACACTCCTTGCGCGAGAGGCAGTACACTATTCCAGACGCTCTGTTTGTGCCATTTCCAGGTGAATAAGGTAGATGGAAAAAAGTTATAACACAATTATAAAACTTAAATTACTGAGAAATTTCTTATATGTGCTATTTACATTTCTGGTAAAATTTTTGATTGCTAATTGACGGTGCTAGTTAAATTTTTGATTGCTAACTGACGTTGCTAGTTTAATTTTTGATTGCTAACTGACAATCCTGGTTAAATTTTGTTGGATTTTATAGGTAAAAGATATACTATTAGCAATCAGTAGAATAAAATGACTAAATAATAACTCGTAATAACAAACCTGAAGAACTTCTCCTTGATGATTTTAGCGACATCTTGGTTGATATTCTTTGGCTTCTTCTCCAATATTCTATACGCGAGGTTCGGACGATTGAAGCTGCTCAAAAACCATTTGCAATTCGTGACCTATTTTGACAAGACATTTGAACAAAAAGTTCTGTCATTTATCAAGTATACATTAAGAACAGAGTTTTGCTTCAAATACAAGATAAAATATGTATTGTATATGTCGCAGCCAACTAGCTTAATTAGCCGTTCAATTAACAGCCTAGCATTTTAACTAACTAGTTTCAAAGTTTCATGAAAAACAACAAGTACAATGGAAGAGTGTAGTGACAATAATGTGAATTTGACTAAAGCAATTTAATTTTAAAAGAAATATTTTATATCATATGTTACATCATTTTTATTTCAAATAATGACTCTATCGTACGAATGGCCTAAGCATTAGCCAGCCAGTTTATTAAATGTTCTAACAAACGCAACTGCTGAACATATTTCAGGCCGCTAGTTAAACGGCACCGTTTAGTTAAACGGTTAGGCTGTTAATTGAACGGCTAATTAATCTAGTTGGCTGCGACATATACATTGTATGACTTTATTATAAAATTATGTTTTTAATAATAAATAAAATATGAAGTAAACGTCAAGTATTTAATTTATTATTTTTGATTAAATAAATATACCCCTTATTAAGTATACCTTAAGTTGATGCAATATGTCCATCCGTACGCGGGGCGTGGCCGTAGCTGTTAACGCCATGAGGGTAGTCTCCGGAAACCGTTCTCGTAACATAAACAATCGTTTGTAATCTGGGCGAAAATCGTGACCCCATTGGGACACGCAATGCGCCTCGTCTATCACAAATCTAAAAAACAATATTATTTTCTTAAAAGTATCTCCCATTATTATGACATATTGCTATTTTACAGTTTGAAAAACAAGGTCTAATACGCCAGCCATTCTAGTTACTCACAAAAATACATATTATTTATTTATATTAGACAAAAAGAGAAGACTACAAACACGGCTCTATAATTATATAATATATTGATTATTGATATATATTACTTGCTGTTGTGCGGCCTTAGGAACAAATCTTACATACACCAAATAGCCTTAATGACAATTACACAACTAATAGTAAATCTAAGTCAATTGATTAAGTCAAATCGATATATTTAAAATGTCAAAAAAGGTTCTCCGGCCACCTTGAGTATTAATATAATACACTAATTTTATTATTACTATATACTTTCTAGGAAATTTTTTTAGTTCAATAAAAATAACTACCTACAATAATAAAAAATAGGGGTTTCGTAGAGGGGTGAAAATAAAGGGTTGTATGTATTTTTGGATGATGTAACATAAAAAAAAAAAAAAAAAAAAAATTTTTAAAAAAAAATAAATTTGGGGGTCATTACCCTTATATACATTATAGACTTTCTGAAATGAATAAAAAAAAATCGGTCCAGCGCTTCGGTGGAGAATGGCAACAAACAGAATTTTATATATAGATATTTAAAAACGTTAAAATGGCTGCTTTAGACGCAAAATCCTTTATGAAATTGGCGTTTTGTATGGGAGGAACAAAAAGGCGAAATTTTTTAAATATAATTTATTTAACTAATCAAAGTATGACATGTTTTCTATCCACTTTTGCATCATAGGTAATCCCTTTACTAAAAAAGTCGGACGGGAATCATAAAAGGAAGCATTTAAAAATTCAAAAAAAAATTGTCTGTTTGAGGTGGGTTCTTGATCAATTGAACAAATTTGGTAGCCGTCGGTCAGTGATCACGTTGTCGTGAAGTAGTAGTCGTGGACAGACCAGCCTAGGTGTAGCAGCTTTTCCACGTTTATTGCTGAATATGAATAAATTTGAAAATTCATAAGAATCAAACGGTCAAGCTGTTGCTGGCAGGGGAGTATATAACGAACATTGTGACACGTAAAATTTTACCTTTATTATAGAGATTTGTAACGCCACGTTAAAATGGCTGCTTCCACAATAGACGCAATCTATATTATAAATTATAGTTCTCGTTTCCAGAACGAAAATTGGACAAAACGAATTTTTGAAGTTTACCTTCATCCAAATGACTCACGGTCTGAAGCACAAATTGGTATACAAATTTGAATTTGAATTCCTTACCAGAGTAGAGCATGTGTCCAGCATTCTTCTAAGGATAATTACAGTCGGTGAGCCGCTCACTTTCTCTGGTGTCACATACAAAAGCTTGATAGCGGGCTCACGAAGAGACAATTTGTGATACACCTCCTCAACAGTAGCTAGAGATATATCGCCGGATAGATGAGCAGCTGGTATCTAATTAATATATCTCTTTTATTGATATGTTTGAATTTAGGGATTGAATGTCTTTGAAAAATTGTATTATTTGTCATGCTTTATGCGCTCCTAGTACCCCAAAACGGATTAGGCCATATTTTAACGTAACAAAAGCATGTTTGTGAATCATAGATAAGTTTTTTATGTAATAAATAATACTATATAATAATTATAGATAATTTTGGTAAAATTTTATATACTTAAATGGAAAATATAAAATATTTAACGTTTTATATAAAACGCAGTGTTGCCCCAGTGGCTGCAACGTGCGACTCTCTTCCCTGAGTTCGTAGGTTCGATCCCTGGCTGTGCACCAATGGACTTTCTAATTGCATTTAACATTCGCTCGAACGGTGAAAGAAAACATTGTGAGGAATCCGGCTTGCCTTAGACCCGAATAGTCGGCGTATGTCAGGCATAGGTGGCTGATCACCTACTTGCCTAAGATTGACAAATGATCATGAAACAGATACAGAACTCTGAGGCCCACACTTAAAAAGGTTCAAGCGCCACTAATTTATTTTATAATAAGGCCGTATAGTTAAATGTTTAGAGCTACCGACTCTAATAATGTACTTATAGAACATAATATTTAATAATAATAAATAAATATTTAAAAATTACTCACGTCTAAGGACAATAGTTTGTTGACTTGATCCAATATGAGCGATTTTAATGGGGATATAACTATTGTGACACCTGGTGTTAATATCGCAGGTAGCTGGTAGCATAGAGATTTACCTGGAATCGTTCAATAATCTTTATAATAGGTATATGATTAAAATTCAAGGAAATGTATGTTAAAGTCTGTGTTGTCAAAAAAAATAAAAAAAGTGTTTAATTTTATTATGTTCAAACGAAAATTTATAAACGCTCTAATATAAAAAACGGTGTATTTTTTTTTCAAGTATAATTCGATATTTCCTTTATTAACACAAAAAAGATAATTATTTAAGATACAGATGCGAAATTATTAGATAATTTATATAACTCTGCCACATTTTAACAAATAAATGTTTGATTAGAGCGTATTGCCATAATAACGCAGATGGCGTAGATGATGTTTCTACGGAGTAATGTAATGACAATAAGAATAATTCACAAATTTTACACACATACATATCAATATTAGAACAAATTTCAAACTGGTCAGAAAAGAAATAAAACAAGCAAACAGAATCAGAAAGTAAATAGAAACTTAAACCTTAATAATAGCGTAATACACAAAATTAAGGCAAATAAGAAAATTTTTGTAAAATATATCGATATTTTCATTAATGTTAGTAATTAATTTATAAGAGAAAGCCTATTCACTGGACCAATTAAAGTAGCAGATAAACGCACGTATAGAAGACTTTTAGTTCTAACGATGATTACAAAGAAAGGAAAATTTTGCAGGAAGGTTATTATTAAAGATACAATATTTTACACAAATAAAAAATGACAATGAAATCACGTCGGACCCAAAAAGTCGACGGCGTGCGCCAGGATCAGAAGGTTGTAATGCCACTGGTAATAATAATAACTCGAAATAGTCCAAACGAGCCTCGTACGTTTGCAATAGACCACGAAAGTGTAAACGATTACAAAACTCTCTTGTGCCTTTTGTAACCAAGTGACCAGATTACAGTGGCATATTCTTAAACACTACGGCCAAGTGTTTTGTAAAGAGTTACTGTACTTGTAATGTAAACAATATCGATTTTATACGTTAGAGGTTTCGTTTAAATGAGCAGTACTCGTGAGTCGTGTGTAAGAAAGCGTTACCTCCTCCAGTAGGCATAAGCACGAAGCAATCGTGGCCTAGCAATGTAGCGTTGATAACTTGAAGTTGATTCGGCCGAAACGACTTCAACCCAAATTTTTCTTTGAACATTTCCATCATTAGGCCCGAATGTGGGAAGTTTGATCCGTCGAATTCTCCTAAAATTATATAAAACAAACAAACTATTATGTGATTTCTTGTTTAAAAAATCAACAATGACTGCGGAAAGATATACGATTTCCAATTATATTTTGCTGTATATATCGTATGATGTAAATAATTAATAAAGAAGCATAATCCAGTTTCCCTATAATATCATTATAGGTACTAAAAATATAAAAAATCTTAGAAAACATTTTGAACGTAATTTTGAATTCGTGATGGGCAGGCATGACCGCAGTAGTGACCACTGTCTCACAGAAAACCGGCTTAAAGTGATGCAATAGGTTCATCTTATTTTACTCACGTTTCGTGCGGTGAGTGGGCACTCAAAAGTATGAAAACAATAATTACCAGTTATTCCGTCATTCTTGGTACCCGCATGAAAATCACCCATTCCCTCATATTTTGGTGCGGTCACCGATTGATCCATTAAGTTGATCACGTCTTTACTAACATCACTGGCTTTTTCCTCCATCACTTCACCAAAATCCTCGGGGTTATATTCTGGCCACCCGTCATCATCGATGGCAAATTCTTTATCATTAATTTGAACTTTACTCGTACTCGGTAGTGAATCACTAATATTAATAACACTGGTTCTCGAATCTTCTGGAATAATATCGGTGACGTCGTCCATATCTATTGGCACTTCGTAATCGTCTGCATCCTCAAAATCAGTTTCACTCGGACTATCTTTAACAATTGGTGAAACAACAGTGCAAGGTTTGCCTAAATTCATTAACGCACTTTTACTCAGCTGAGGAGGTTGAAATGCTACTGAACTGTTGCCTACGGGTGCACATTTGGGCGCCACTTCGGTTACCAATGGATGCAATTTTTCAGATGCAATCTTCAGTCTTTCAAATGTACTGGAAGGTACATCTCTTGTTGGCGTATTTAAATCATCAGCTGCTCGTGAAGGTCTTTTAAAAACAAATTTTCCCTTCTTAGTTTGATTATCTGATGTGTTTAAAGATTCTGAATCTGAGTTTAAACTAGAATTTATGCTTTTGATAGATCCATTGCTGGGCGAAAACACATCGAAAGAGAGTGCTTTTTTAGGTACTAAATCTGAGTATATTGTTTTATTTGGTTGATTTTTATTAAATGTAGGTATATCTGGTGTTGATGTTTCTATATTGTTAATTAAGCCTTTATCCATTACTTTATGTCCTACTTGACTAGACAGATCAAAATCCTCAAGGTCATCATCATTATTTAGTAATGACGGACTTTCTCTACCATTCACTTCGTTACTTGAATTAAGTGTTTCAGAAGAAGATTGTAAGCAGTCTCTTGGTTTCGATTGTATGGCAGACTTTAATTTTGTTTTTAAATAGTTTATTTTTGAATAGATCTTACTGTCATATCCTGGAAACTTTTCTTTTATACAGTTTGGTATTCTGTTAAATGCATCACTTATTTTTTCTAATAGTTCTATATACATTGTTTTACACTCTTCAACGTCGGTATGTGTGATAATTTTCTTATCCTAAAATAAACAAGAATTTCATGAGCTAAGATTATAATTTTTCATCATACATTTTTCTAAAACATAGTAGAATTATCATACACAGTAAAGAACATACAAACAAAAAATATTTTAATACATGATTTAATGTCAATAATATGTAAGATATACAAGTTCTTCTCACATCCTCCTTAAATTATAAAATGTAATTATTTTATATATGAAATATATAAATTATCATCCTATATATATATTATCATCATATTCTATCATGAATTGCATGATTCTTATGCATTTTCATGTCTTGAATCACAATCAAAATTTGTTTATCAGTTTACCAGTGAAGACCAACAAATCAAGGAAATAAGATTTATTTAGTCAACAAGTTACCAACTAATTATACTTACATTATGCTTTTTATTTATAGCGGGATGTTCAGATATATTTAAAAGGAAATGTGATATAGAACTGTCTAACTTTAAATTTCTTAATGGATCTTTGTCCTTTTTAGGGCTGATTTTTTTTGGTGTTCTGAGATTTTTGTCCTTTTCTGCTATTTTAGCTTTTACTGAAGACTTTTCTGTATCTTCTATTTTTGCTGAGTATATAGTTTCACTTATTCTCATAGATTTATTGGAACTCGGTGAAGGACTCATATGTTTGTCAATAACATTGAATGGATTGTCATCCTAAAAGGAAAGTTCATATACTGACTGCCAGAAAAACAAGCGAATTATTATGGATTATTTCGTTATACATACAAATGTTGTAACAATACACAAAATATCAATTATTTTCATACAATTCATAATTTAGCAATGCATTTGACAAGATATTGTGTAAAATACACAATACCCACAATGGTACCATATAAACAAAACAAGCAATTTAGTTATTTTTACACATCTGATTTAAGAATAGTGAACAAGTAGTTAGACTGAAAGACATACCACATCCATAGCGTCAGATAGATCATTTATTTGTGAATTATATTTTGTAATATTTGTTGACGTATTTATAGAACTGCACTGAGATGTAATATTTGATATATCTGCTTTAATATTAATTGAGTCCTCCTAAAAATGCTTACAAAGTTAAAAAACCGAGACAACAGCAACATGGCAAATGTTATCGAAGGTAGTTTGTCTCATTAATTAAAGTCAAGCTTATATGATTTTCTTTTATAAAACTCATCTTAATTATATAATAATAAATGATATCAGTTTTTACATACTTAAAGGAAAGTAATAAAAACTAGACTAGCCTACAAATACCCACTTACATATCTATCTGTACAAAGTAGCTTCTTAATTTACCTTTTGATCAAAGTCCGTCTTGTACGGTGGATTGACTGAAATAGCATAACATTTAATAAATACAAAATTAAAATACAATACAAATGTATTTCATATTTGATTGTAACTTTGGTAGAGATTTTTACACTTACAGCTTGAAGTTGAGGATTTCGATTTCCAAACAAATTTTGATTTTTTTTCAGGTTCTTTATTTGTTCTGAAATTTACAAACGTTTTAGTTTAGAAGTTTGAATAATTAATAGAAAATACATAAACAGGTATATTTCAGATATGTAAAAAAATTATACTGACTGTTGAATAGTACCGCAATCTTCTTTTTTAATATAATTAAATAAGGAATTTTGTTTACCAGCACCGATTGGCTTTTTGCAAGACATTTTTAATATTATGTATACAATTAACAATATGTGTTACGAACAAATGTTTTCTCTATTCTTGTTATGTTTGGCGCACATATTTTGATCAACATAAGAAGTTTCGTACAATATAAGAAGTAAGAACTAAGAATGTCAAAACAAAACGAGTAATTGACACCTGACACAACCAAGATTTGCAAAAAATACTCCACGAACTGGCAATTGTTGTGTGATCTGTCACATATAAAATCTGACATTGTTTTGTTTCTGAATTCTGTTTAATGTGACATTTAATTCACTAGAGATTAGAGAATGTGAATAATTTTAGTACATATTATAAAAATAAAAAATGTCTCTAAGAAAAGTACTATTTTTAACAAAAGCTGTGTGTTGCGGAGGTATTAAGTATCAAGCTACGAATTTTTCGCTACAAAATCTATGGGTATTATCAGCAACTACAACTAGATTTTATTCTACCGAAAACTTAGGTTAGTTCAATAGTTTAAGAAAATAATTAAGACGTCCAAATAATCGTTAAATTAATAACTTTTCTAGTCTATCGACTCAAATAATCTTTTACATAGTTCTTTTAGATAGTAACTGGAATATTAAACTTGCTTGCTTGCAGGAAATAAGAATAAAGAAGGGAATTCGCCAGAAAAGGTGGATATACTTGGTAGATTTTTTCCACAAAATGAATTAGGCGTAAAGGATGCGCAAGAAGTTAAAAATGAGCAGGAAAAGTTTGAACAAGAACAGAAAGAAAAATCACAAGAAAATGAAAAAAGTTGGAGACGCATGAAAATGGGGTATACAAATTATTCGTAAAAATTATAATTTACTCTAGGTTACTTGTTGAATTTTGGTGATATTTGGTGGTTTATCAAAAAACTGTTTATTAAGTAAATATTGTCTTTTAGATTTGCTGTGTTTGGTGGTGCTCTCACAGTTATGGGTGGATGTATGGTGGTGGAAATGGGGGCTCCAAAACGTGGAGAAGAAGGACAGATCCTTGAGGATGAGTTCTCAAACCTACCTATTGTGTGGCAGTACCTTAGACGTACTTGGAAGGAACTTACTTTCTATGAAAAGGTGAAAAGAAATATTATCTTATTTCATAATAAAATATATTTATTTATCTAAATATATGTCTTGCAAATAGCTTATATTTTCTGTTCATAGCTAACATCATACATATAAGGTTGAGTTTTATGTCAACAGATGATCAAAGAGCCATCCCGTGACAAACTACTTCCAGACCCTTTGCCACCTCCATATCAACCCAGCTATACCCTAGTACTTGAATTCACTGATGTTCTAGTACATCCTGACTGGTCTTATCAAACTGGCTGGAGGTGAGTTATTCAATAAGATAATAAGAAATGTAAAATGTAATGAGATCTTTTCACTGTAACTTATATATTTTAGATTCAAGAAACGCCCAGGCGTTGACCAATTTTTACAAACTGTAGCAAGTTCAGACTATGAAGTTGTCATATTTACATCAGAGAATGTGTTCATGATCTGGCCAGTACTTGATAAATTGGATCCGGAAAACAAACTTATCTCATACAGACTATTTAGAGATTCTACACATTTTATGGATGGAGTTCATGTTAAAAACTTGGAAGGATTAAATAGAGATTTGTCTAAGGTAAAGATTTATTTATCATTTTTATTTATTTTGAATTTATAAATGTTTGCTTTTTGCGATATTTAAGACATGTTATTTCAGGTCATTGTTGTGGACTGGAACAAGCAAGCAACTCAGTTCCAGCCAGAAAATGCACTTATACTTAAGAAATGGAAAGGAGCTGATGATGATACAGCACTGCTTGACCTTGCCAATCTATTGCAAAGTAAGTATATGGGATATAATTTCAAATTGTAAGATAATGGTTGCTAAGCATAACTTATTGTTAATTCTTTTATGAATCTTTATATCACCTTTCGTCAAAATGTCTTTAGTCGTTTAAGCATATTTTAATAAAAATAACTTGATGTATTTTGGATATTACGGAAGATTCTGTTTAAAAACTACAGTACTACTACTACTATACTATTTCAAATCAGTGTACATATATTCGTTGGAAAGGGGTGTTTTAATATTGGCGCAGTGGCAGCCACAAACTTTTCTACTTGTCGTACATTAAAGACAATCTTATATTCATGATATTTAACGTAATAATATATTATAAAAGAATCTATATTTTAGCCATAGCAATGTCAAACGTGTCAGACGTGCGCGATGTCGTAACATACTATAGTCAATACGAAGACCCTATAGCGGCCTTCCGTGAGAACCAACGCAAGTTGCTCGAACAAATGGAGAATGAAAAGAAAGAGCGCGATTCACAACCAGACCAAAACCTTGCAAGAGGGTGGTTAAGGACATTTACAAGACGTTAGCCGTAAGTATTGGAAGTTTGTAGCAGACTCATATTGGTTAACTGACATTATTGAAATTTCTTCAGCACTATCTTACGCTACCTATTTGGAAAACTTTTTAAGAACAAATTAATTGGAAAATCATTTTTGTAGATTGCATATCGAAAACCGGAGCGAAAAAATACAGAACAATATGTTCTTTGAAAAAGTTTTTGAAGATTCATTGTATACCATAGATTATACGCGAATATTACATTATTTATATTCGACGTATACGGTGCTGTTTAGCAAACGAGCTAAAGACTTGAATTCGTTTAAGCTAAAGTTATTAGTTGGGTAGATCTATAATAGAAATATGTATTATAATATATAATCTTATTATATGCAATTAATAAATTTTACCTTATTTATATTATTATGTGTAATTTATTTGTTTTCAGGTACCAGGGACTGAGGTCGCAAATTGAATAAATTACTTAACTTCGTAGAATTCATATGTACATATTATTATCATTGTTATGTTCCTCTTAGTTTTTTTTCAAAGCACTCGTATTTTCAACAAATTAACATCTTATAAAACAATTGTATTTATAGGCTATTCAATAACAAGCTTAATAATAATAATAATTAAAAATTCATGAAATATAGCATCTATTTTTATGTTTATTTCTCAAAAAAAACCCTTTGTAGTCGAAAACTACTTACCACCATTACTAGATAAGCTAAATTAAAATTCTATTGAACATTTTTCATGGCATGTAGTAAATTAAATTTTTAGAATATAAGTGCAAAATTACATTTACCTTAACATTAGAGTCGAGACTTTAGTCTGTCGCCCTCAGCGACGTATGTTGAAAACGAGTGGATTTTGTACGGGAGTCAGAGATGTAAGTCTCAACTCTGAATCTTACTCTTAGATCACATGCTTACATAAAAGCGGTTGTAAAGAAAAAATTTAATTGACAATATAAAACAGCTGCAATAATAAAATTAAGACATGAAATAAAAAGGGATACTTAATTTCAATGAATTTTTTGTTATATTATTTTTTCATAACTGCATAAAATTAGTTTCTTTATCCGAGCTAAATGTACCTTAAAAATTGTTATTTCATGAGTGTTTGGTCCTTGAAGGATGTGTGTTGTCTGTCAGGAAATATAGATTGTTTAATAAATTACTTGTTTTGTTGTATTATATTTGATAGTCCTAATTATCAAAAATTGGGAATAATTTGTGTGCCCAATCCTGGAATATTTGTAATATTTCCACCATTTGCAATAAGACATTGCAGAGAAACACAAGCCTTCAAAATAATGTTTAAAAATTTATTTTATCTTTATCACAGAAAAATAATAACTTAAATGTTATAATAAACAACACTAAAATCAAGAGAATTAACTTTGTTTACTCGTCTGTTGTCTCCATCCCTTCTAGCCACACTTCTTTAAGTTCAACATCTATTTCCTCCTTTTCAAATGTTTCCTTTATTTCATCAATATTAAATTGCTCATCTTCAACATCAGTTACCAATTGTGCATCTTCTGGGATCTTAACCAGTTTCTTCCAAACATCAGCAATATTAATCATTGTTGAGACTTCAAATATTCTTTCACTTGTTTTATATGATTTTGACCAGTCCTGTAATTGCCTTACACTGTCATCTTCCACTATACTATTCATGTGCTCTGGATATAAAGTGTGATGGGTAATATCACCTAAAGAATTTAGCATTAGGATGTCATAACTATTGGCTTGTTCAATAAGTAATGTTCCAGTTATTGCAGTACTGAGACGACTATCTAATGGATTATAAATATCATCACATGATAAGTGGGATCTAGCTTCTTGAAGAACAGAAAGAATACTGGGTGGCCGATATGGTATTGTAATACTATTGTCAGATGAAAGAAACTCACCTTTTTTATTATCAGATATAACACACATATCTTCACACCATTGACTACTTAAACACAGTAAATCCTTATTTCTTTCAAAGTTACACTTATTTATGTAAACTGGAGGAAATTCCATGCCATGTGTCCAACGTTGAGTAGCTTGTAGTTGATATTGTTTCACAAATCTTAGATCCAGCAAAAATAAATGGTGATTTGTACCGAAATATAAATAGTTACTACTATCAAATTGTCTAGCAACTGTTATTGGATTGCAGCAAGTTTCATCAACAATAGACTTAATGTTGTTGTAAGCATGTTCTAAGGCATTCGTTCTTTTATCATACACATGAATCGCATTTCCTGATACATTTACATAATAATCTCTTTTAGTAGAAAGAACAATATTCCAATTATTTAAGGGTTTGTTTGTGTTTGCCTTTAACAATATTATCTTTGCTAGCAATGTTTCTACATTAATTAAATACATATTGGAATCTATAAGCGTTGCATATAAAACTTTTTTATGAAAACTGTCAAATGATATACTGACAAATGGTTTTTCTGTTTCTAACACAGTTATTTTTTCAAATTCAAATTCATTTCCTGTTTTTATTTTGAGTATAAATATTATATTCCTGGTTCTAACAGCAACAATAGGTATGCTTTCAATAGAATGTACAACTTCAAGAATATTGCAATCTTTGCCACACTCAAAACTTGCTACTGGTTCATTTGATGTGATTTTAACTTCCTTTTTGTTAAAATCTTTTAAATCTGGAAATAGAGATTTTTTTTTTGTTTTACATACAATAGTTGAACTATATCAGTAGTCATTTATTATACTTACATAAAATGCTAAATTCACTATACATCAAGTACTGTCTATCAAATAAAAGAATTAGTTGTAAATTTCCAAATCCTGCATAGTACCAGTTGTAGTTAGCATCAAAGAATGGCTCAGGATCATTGTTTAATAGTTCAGCCATAGAAACTATGGCTTTTGGGCAGCTAATAACATCTTCATTGAGTGTTTCAAGCCTCTGCTCATACTTGTAAGCGCCTAAAAATTTAATTGTATAAATAAACTTTCTAATATCTAATATATTTAATAATACTATTTGATATCATAAAATAAACAACAGCCTGCTCCCAGATAATAAAAGTGATACACCACTAATTAAATTATACACTAATTAAAATATTATGTATTAACTAAAATTATAATTGTATAAGCAGAACAATGATGTTACTTGAATAAAAGTGGCTTTCAAAAATTGCTGATAGGAATAAGAATATATTTAAAACTTAAGGAATTTCTAAATTCCCTACATTCTGTTGTAAATTTCTAATTTATTATAATGATAAAGAACTATCATGAACTTACTTGCCGTGTATGCATGAATTAGAAGTTTTCTATTCCATTCCAATTTTTCCTGCATATATTCAACAACAGGATCTTTTTTCCCTATATTATGTATGCAAGTGATCACCTGTGGTGGTACACTTTTGTATCTTAATGGCTCAAAATAATTTGATAGTAATTGTCCATCCCAATCGTCATTGAAAGTATTTAAGGGATAATTAGGAAGTAAAGAGTGTTTCATTAAGGACCATCTTTGACGCAGATTTCTTCCAAAAAATTTGAAAGCTTCTTTATTTTTATATGGAAGTTCGTCTAATATCTGGCTAATTGGTGCAGTATTATCTAAGTCGCCCGTAATGTGCTTTTTGTTCGGTACTTTTATTGTTTTTTTCCAGTTTACCTTCTTTGTGGAATCCATATTTGATTTTTTGTTTTGGCAAAGTCGTCATAACAAGTTAAGGCACTTGAAAAGGCAGGTTTAAACCCTTTAAAAACGAAATGTAATCATAAGTAAAAGAATTCAAAACTTTTAACATAACATTAGTTTGTTTTGAATAAACACAATATGCTGCATGCACATTGTAAAATGTATTTCTATTAATCTATTTGTACTTGTCACTAATCACTTGATAGTTGATCTGTGCAAAATGGATATCGAGGCATAGTGTCTAGCTTTTGACTGCTAGTCTGTTACGACAGTTGAAAAGCTAAGTACAGTGTTGCTAGCTTTCCATTTGTGGAAATATTGTACGCCAAAAAACGATTTTCACATATAGACAAGGAAGTACTTAATAATTAGGTGGATTGATACAAATAAAGGTAAATATTCCGTATCGCGGCACCAGCGATTTTGAGACTATTTTTTTTTACAGTCGCGTTATGATCTGTAAACATCATAGCTATTAAGAGTATTTTTATGATGGCGCATGAAAAAAAATTCAATTCACCTATTTAAAAAAAATATTTATATACTAACCTAACCTAACCCAACAATATTAATAATAGGTTTTTGGACAGCTCCGGCGCTGCGGGAAATGCAGCCCTTCCGACCTTGCGTACCAAAGCACAGGCATTTTATGCATAATGCCTGTGCTTTTTTACAGCGGGTGGGGAATGCTCTTCCTCCGCGCCTCCGATTTTTTATATACACTCTAGAGTCTAGGGGTAAGGCAGACTAGACAACGTGGATAGTGGGGTGCTCTGATTCGGTTTTGGGTACTTTTTGATTTTACTTTTTTGCATAAATGGTCATGCGCCATCATAACAACACTAGTTATGGTGCTGAGAACTCATGGTGAAGTCATTAAAAAAAATCAGCCTCAAAATCGCTGGTGCCGCGATACGGAATATTTACCCAAATAAATTTCTTTTTATCTAGGCTAAATGGTGGTACAAAGACAAAATAAATTTGATGGGGAACAAATTTATTTATAGAAGTGTTAAGATTTTTTCGGAGTCGGGGTGGGCTAATACATTAATATTATAGTCATTTAGTATTAAGGGTTAATAAAAAGTTACTGTCGCTATTACCTATACTATTACATTGCTGTAGATTATTAATGGACCTAAAGTCAATGAAGGAAAAACCAAGTGTATTGGTATAGTTACAAGGTATCGTAAAAATTTAGTTAACGATCTCCAATTATAAACCCTAGATCGAAATCACCGAGAATAATGACGACATCACTTGAGTTTAAAGCTCTGTCAATGTTGTCGGTAAAAATGTGTCAAAGTCCCAATTTTTACAAAGTACAAAAGGAGGCAGGTATACAGTATACTACGCATATTTAAAGTTTTTTTATTATTTAATTTATATATAAGGTGACCCATAAGTCCTCAACATCCGATTCCCATGCGGAGTTTTGGTAAGAGCGTTGATTTTATAATTAGAAGTTGACACATTTTTGAGAAAGTTTTTAGTTCTAATAAGTTTGTAATCCATGAACGTTTTGACTATAAATGTTAAGCATCGTAAAAGTAAAAAATAAAACACAAAACAATGAATTACTAAACGAAAAATACAATTTAGTTTTGTACCGTAGTAGGTATATTTGTTTTCAATCTAATATTTAATGGTAAAAGATATAAGGTTACAAATTCAATAAATAAGTCTCGGTAAGGATCCTTGCTAAACAACTGATTGCGAATAATTCTCAATGTACGATTTCAACCACTGAAACAGTTCGCCGTGTATACAAAAAAAGTAGCGGCACGGAACTCTAGCGCTGACCGTTATTGCGCAGAAGTAAAAAATAAGGTACCTGAGGGGGGCTAGCGGGCGCGCGTAGCGTCGATTGGCTCTCCAGTCGCATTCCGTCCCCCGCGCGACAGTACACATGCGCAGCAATCCCCTCCACGTATCGGCCAGCGCTAGACTTACGTGCCGCTGCCTATACCCAGAGATATATAACTTATCTAAGGTACAAGTATCTGAATTCTGAAATACAGATACAAGATACGTGATCTTGTATCTATAAAACTTTTTTAAAATTTATTTTGTACCTATCTTGTATTTAAATGACTTTTGCTTTGATACTAAAAAAGTATTTTATAGATAGTATGTTTGCTAAAATACTTTTAGTAATAGATAAATGTTTCTATGATGACATCTTCTGTAATATTAATTATATAAACCAGGTTTAAGCAATAATAAAACACCTTCAATTAAATGTATAAATCAGTAAAATGCACAGCATGCATAGGCGTAAATCTCATAACATTTCTATTAAGTATAATTGACCTATTCTTTTCTTGATAATTGTATTTTAATTTATTATAATTGACAGTGAAAATAAAATGGCAGAGTGACAGCACACTTGTTCTTTATTTGTTACGTCTTCCAAAAAGTAGGTTTTAATATGGCTGGCTTTGGCTTATATAGGCTCATCCCCTCCAAGTGGCTGCCATTTGCGGTTGGCAGGCATGGCGGTTGGTTGGAGGGTTGGTCAACATGGCATGGCTTGGCTTTGGCATTGGCTTTGGCATTGGCTATGGCATTGGCTATGGTATTGGCTATGGTATTGGCTATGGTATTGGCTATGGTATTGGCTATGGTATTGGCTTTGGAATTGGCCTATGGTATTGGCTATGGTATTGGCTATGGTATTGGCTATGGAATTGGCTATGGCTTTGGCTATGGCTATGGCTATGGCTATGGCTATGGCTATGGCTATGGCTATGGCTATGGCTATGGCTATGGCTATGGCTATGGCTATGGCTATGGCTATGGCTAAGGCAAGGCGGCAAGGCTAAGGCTAAGGCTAAGGCTAAGGCTAAGGCTAAGGCTAAGGCTAAGGCAAGGCAAGGCAAGGCTAAGGCTAAGGCTAAGGCTAAGGCTAAGGCTAAGGCTAAGGCTAAGGCTAAGGCTAAGGCTAAGGCTAAGGCTAAGGCTAAGGCTAAGGCTAAGGCTAAGGCTAAGGCTAAGGCTAAGGCTAAGGCTAAGGCTAAGGCTAAGGCTAAGGCAAGGCAAGGCTAAGGCTAAGGCTAGCTTGGCTTTGGCTTTGGCTTTGGCTTTGGCTTTGGCTTTGGCTTTGGCTTTGGCTTTGGCTTTGGCTTTGGCTTTGGCTTTGGCTTTGGCTTTGGCTTTGGCTTTGGCTTTGGCTTTGGCTTTGCTTTGGCTTTGGCTTTGGCTTTGGCTTTGGCTTTGGCTTTGGCTTTGGCTTTGGCTTTGGCTTTGGCTTTGGCTTTGGCTTTGGCTTTGGCTTTGGCTTTGGCTTTGGCTTTGGCTTTGGCTTTGGCTTTGGCTTTGGCTTGGCTTTGGCTTGGCTTGGCAGGATGTGACTGGCGACGTCACGTCCGTTACACTCGGCCATCCTGAAACAGTTGTTCCCGTGGGAACAACAACCACGATTAGCTCTCTAATAAATCAAACAGATCTTCGGTTTCAAGTTGCCCATCTGAACTGCTGGCACTATCAGATACAGTAATAATGCTTTTATAGGGTCTTAACGAATCGGCAGATACTAATCCAGTAAAACTCTTATATCCACGTAAACCATTTAGTGTACTTCTCATTTGGTACCTATCATTGCCCACTACCTTAGTTACGACATAAGGACCGGAATACAAGTCGTCAAGTTTAGTGTTAACTTTGGATGCGCTACAAGTCGGTGTTTGTCGCCATAGGACAAAATCACCCTGCTTATAGATGTGAGCAGATTTTCGTTTTTTGTCAAAGTAACGTTTCATTGTAGCACTCGCTTTTAGTATCCTATCAGATGCTTTCTTTCGACGCGACTCTACTGGTTCAGAAACACGCCCGGGAACCGCAACATCACATACTGCCCGGGCAAACATCAAGTCGTAAGGTTTGTAAGTGGTGGTGTTATTAATTGAGTTGTTAATTCCCCAAATTATGTCGGGCAAAGAGTTAGCCCAATTGCTAGAGGCTTCACTGGGGTCTGTGGCTCGTAATGCATCCAGTATTGTCCTATTTGTACGTTCCACTTGACCGTTAGAACGCGGACAAGCAATAGCATTGAGAGTATGTCTTAACTGTTTATCATTCGAAAACTTCATAAAGTTCCTACTCGTGAACGCCTTTCCGTGATCGGTGACTATGTGATCAGGGAAGGAAAATAAACTAAATATCCTTCGTAGTACACGAATAGTTTCGATCGAGTTGACAGAACGCGTTGGCTCAGCTATTAATTACAAACTTAGAAAAACCGTCTGTCATAACGAGCATATATTGATACCCCTTATTTGTCTTAGTAAAAGGGCCAATGTGATCAATATGAACCATTCTCATAGGCTCAGAGGGCTTAGGAATTGGATGGAGTTTACCTTCTTTTTTTGCCGTAGCCCCCTTTGCCGTATGCACAATGAAGACATGCAGTCACATATTTCTTTATAAATCTTGTCATTTTAGGAAACCAAAATTCGTTTTTGATTAATTCGCTACAGCGATTAAATCCTACATGACCAATGTCGTCATGGTGCATTTGCATTATTTTCCATCTGGCCGAATTTGGAACCACCAACCTATTCCCGTTCAAGGTTTTACGATAAAGCCTATTATCAATAATTTCGAAATTATTTTTTTTTTAATTCCGATCCGCCGGTATTATCTTTTAATTGACTAACGATTGCGCTCAACTTATCGTCCTGACATTGCACCGTATAAAACCAATCCGTCACTTCTAGACGATTCACGCGTTCATAACGTCAACCGGATGTCTACTAAGCGCATCTACATGTTTCATGTGTTCTCCCGGCCTATATTCGACACTTATATCGTAATCTTGTAAAGAAAGCCACCACCTCGCGATACGTGGTATAATGTCGCGTTTAGTAAGCGTAGCGCGGACTGCTGTACAGGCAGTAACAATCTTAACTTTTTTTTCCCGACGATGTATACGCGAAAACGACGCAAAGAGTCCACGACCGCCAGAGTTTCAAGCTCATAACTATGATACA